GCCCTGTTGAGCCCGCCCCGCCCAAGCCCTGCGCAGAGCCATTTGCCGGATCGCCTCAGGCAAAGGCTAGATTAGCACCTCCCCAGAGGACAGAAGTTTTCCGCGGCAGACACAGCTGATTCACACAGCCAGTCGGCCTGGTGGTCAAATCCCTCTAGTATTAACTACAACAATCAAGGCTCAACTAGAACAAGACTGCGCACAAAGACCACTAGGGGGTGCACCAAGAAAGCATAAAAAATGCGGAGACAAAAAAACATGACAGAAATGGAGGATATAGAGCTAAAAATCGCAATTTTGAGGGCTTGCAAAAATGTGCTAGAAGCTGTCAATAAACTTGAGGAGAGAGTCACGAAAACTAATGAGACCCTCGATGCTATGATAAAGAACCAACTAGAAATTAAGCATACACGGACTGAAATAAAGAATATTATACAGACACCCAATAGCAGACCAGAGGAGCACAAGAATCAAGCCAAAGATTTGAAATGCGAAGAAGCAAAAAACACCCAACCGGAAAAGCAAAATGAAAAAAGAATCCGAAAATACGAAGATAGTGTAAGGAGCCTCTGGGACAGCTTCAAGCGTACCAACATCAGAATAATAGGGGTGCCAGAAGATGAGAGACAGCAAGATATTGAAAACCTATTTGAAGAAATAATGGCAGAAAACTTCCCCCACCTGGTGAAAGAAATGGACTTACAGGTCCAAGAAGCGCAGAGAACCCCAAACAAAAGGAATCCAAAGAGGACCACACCAAGACACATCATAATTAAAATGCCAAGAGCAAAAGACAAAGAGAGAATCTTAAAAGCAGCAAGAGAAAGAGACTCAATTACCTACAAGGGAATACCCATACGACTGTCAGCTGATTTCTCAACAGAAACTTTGCAGGCCAGAAGGGAATGGCAAGAAATATTCAAAGTGATGAATACCAAGAACCTACAACCAAGATTACTTTATCCAGCAAAGCTATCATTCAGAATTGAAGGTCAGATAAAGAGCTTCACAGATAAGGAAAAGCTAAAGGAGTTCATCACCACTAAACCAGTATTATACGAAATGCTGAAAGGTATCCTTTAAGAAGAGGAAGAAGAAAAAGGTAAAGATACAAATTGTGAACAACAAACATGCATCTATCAACAAGTGAATCTAAGAACCAAGTGAATAAATAATCTGATGTACAGAATGAACTGGTGATTATAATGAATCAGGGACATAGAAAGGGAATGGACTGACTATTCTTGGGGGGGAAAGGGGAATGGGAGATGCGGGAAGAAACTGGACAAAAATCGTGCACCTATGGATGAGGACAGTGGGTGGGGAGTGAGGGCGGAGGGTGGGGCGGGAACTGGGAGGAGGGGAGTTATGGGGGAAAAAAAAAAGAGGAACAAATGTAATCTGAACAATAAAGATTTAAAAAATAAATAAATAAATAAAATGGATAAGATGCAAAAAAAACAAAAAACAATAAAGATAGATTTTTTAAAAGATAAAGCATAATTTAGCTTATTTTGCAAGACTAACTTGTCCTTGGTCATTTCTTGCTTATGCCTCTGAAAATCATTAGTAACATGAACTGATTCCCGAAAAAAAAATGTGACTAGTGAGCCTGGCTGGCGTGGCTCAGTGGTTGAGCATCTACTTATGAACCAGGAGGTCATGGTTTGATTCCCGGCCAGGGCACATCCCCAGTGTCCAGGTTGCAGGCTCAATCCCCAGTGTGGGGCATGCAGGAGGCAGCCAGTCAATGATTCTCATCATTGATGTTTCTGTCTTTCCCTCTCCCTTCTTCTCTGAAATCAATAAAGATATATTTTTAAAAAATGTGACTAGTAGGAGTGGGGAGTGAGGAATTGAATTTTAAATTTAATTTAGTTTTAGTTCATTTAAATTTAAATATATGCATTTAAATATATATATTTGTAATCATGAGATTCCACCTTGTGACCTTGTCAGGGAGAGTGGCCTGTGTGGGATATGTAACTCTCTGTGCCTATGCTAATCCATACACACAGTGGATGAAATCCTAGATAAAAAGTATTGTGAGGAAAGAAAAGGATCTAGAAATGTTGCTTAGGCAGGTGGAGGAGGATGAACAGAGACAGAGGAAGAATAGCCAAAGAGTTGGAGGGAAACCAGAAGAGGGCTATGTCCTAGAAGCCAAGCAAGAAGAGCCCAGTTTTATCCAGGAGAGTTCAGTGAAGCAAGGAGAGTCCAGTTAAGTTTAAGAAGAACATAAGACGGGACATAGTGTCTCTAGGATGTCCATGTTACAGGGACAGTGACGTGGCAGGGTACACCTGGATTCAAGTGTGGCTGCTTCCCTTTAGCTGTGTGGCCTTGGGCAAAAGGCCATCTGATCTCATTCTACAGATTCTGCATCTATAAAATAGGGATAATAACATCTTCCTCAAAGCATTATTGTGAGGGTTACATGAATGATGCATACGTGATTTGTCTAGCACTTTCTAGGTTCTCAATAAAGATTGATTCCTCCCATTTTGTCTCTGACCACTTACTCATTTGTTTGACTCTCACTCTCCTCGATGTCTTAGCTTTGGTGTTGGTGGTGACTCACTGGTAAGGGTCAACACAGGTCCATTCCTCATATATCACTGTACTAGTCTGGGTGCCAACAAGCTGTTATGAGCTGACAAATCAGTGCTCTGGATACTGTAGGGAGCCAACCACCCACTTATGTACCTCTTGATATGTAGACAGAGCACCCAGGATTGGATAAGGACACAAAATACCCTTCTTCAACATACTCAGTTTTTCCCTTCCAGGGAAAGGAACTCCAACTACCAAACGAATACCTAATTTTTGTCTCAAGACATCTTTTTGCACTTGCATTTTGCATTTATATAAATCTCCAATACAAAATATTAATAATAAATGACTCATCACAATTAAATTTTTTAAGAGTCAGAATTGGCCCTACCAGATTTTTCCAATTTGCTAGAAGCAACCACTCCCTTCATTTTTATTTGTTAAATACAGTGAAGGGGGTGGGGGATGGAGGAAGGGAAGGAAATGCAATTTTCCCTACTGGTTAATAACTCTTGCCCTGTCTGCTACCACTGACGGTTTTTACAGTGTTAGCCTGGTTTTGGCAACTACAGTAACTACCCATTGGGAGATAATATAATTCATTGCTTGCATTAGGTTAACTAAACCCCCAAAAGAGAGACAGACAATTTGTATTGTGGCTAAAGCAGGATACCTAACTTTTTAAAAACCTTTTTAAAAATTATCCTTGTATTTCTAAAAAGCACATGTTGAATTTCTTATTGACAGTGTGTGCTTTGTGGACCAAACATGAGGACATAATGTTTCATAAACAAGAGAGTACCTTTAGGGACAGGCTACTATGTTAACTGAAACATCTTTGTGAGAAAGACATATGGATTGGTTTCCTCCCACACAAACACCCCGACAGGGGCCAGGAACGAATTTGCAACCCAGATAAGTGCCCTTGACCTGGAATCGAACCGACGACATTACGGTGCACGTGCCCACGCTCACCGCCAGGGCCACATCCATTTTTAGACGGACACTGTCAACATTTGGTGTAAAGGGAACCAGGGCTCTTAGCATCTCGCCACCCGGCTACCACCTCAGTACCTGGTCGTTCTCTCCCTTCAGCGCACAGTCTGGCAAGCGGACCGTGGGACCGCGCTTCCCTAGCGGAGCATTGAAGACGTGTACGCCTGCGCCTTAGACCTCGCTGGCGTTCTAAGGTGGAAGGTTGCGCGCTTGAGTTTCCATGGCAACGCGACGCTTCCGCCTTCTGGAAGCCTTAGCTCCAGCTCCGGCTGTGTGAGACCCGTCCGGGTGGGAGGGGACCTGGGCACTGGGGAACAGATGGGGGTAGGAGGAGGTGGGAGCTGGGGAAGTTGCTGGGGACATTTGCTCCAGGGATTGAACTAAACTAAGAAAGATCGGTCCTAGGCTCAACGCGAAAGGATCTTTTCATTCCGGTCCTTTCGCCCACGCAGGGAACGATGCCTCTGGAAGTGGTGGTGGAGTTGCAGATCCGGGCGGTAAGAAAGATCAACGAACCTCCCTCTCCTTTCGCCCAAGTCATACTCTTTCCTCAGGTTCTGAAATGGTCCCTGGTCATTCTCACCACACCCTCTCATTCACCACACAGACATTATTATCTTTTGGAACAAACAGTACTCTGTCCCTACGATTTTCTACACTGGTCTTCCCAGACCTCCTAACCTTTACTTCAGCTCAACCTCTTCCCCCTTTCCTCCCCCTTAAAGCCAACTTGTTTCTACCTTTATCCTGAAATTTTGTGTTCTTTAAAAATAACCCTGTATTAAGTCCAAGGAGGATTTTCTTTTCTTTTGCAGGATAAAGATTTGGGAAAGGTTTAAAACCCTCTTTTAAATAACCAGGTTAGAATTTTATTTCATAAAGCCTCATTACTTCCTGATAATTTTTCACTTCTAGGAACCAATAAAATATTTAAAAGCTATTTCCCCTATTAGCTCTGGTTTGCTAATTCCAAAGGGGAAATCAATCAACTGTCTTATAATTATCCACTGAATCTTGCTTAAGTGAGATACTGTGGCAGGGTGACTCCACTGTTTCTATTTGGGCCAGTCATTCCTCTTATTTCAGTTCCCATTTTCCAATCCTTCCATCTGTAGTGACAGGCTGTCCTGCAGCTTTGCCTCCTAACTGTAGGGGCTTCTCTCCTGGCCATGATTACAAGCAAACATGCCACATAGGTTATGGCTATGGAAAATATGGTTAGTCTCTATACAATTGACAAATGCAGTTTCATTATACACACAACTACAAAATAAAGAGCAGAATTTCCTGGATGTTCCACTTTTACAGCAAATAGAACCAGGCTATATCAGCCGTGCAATATCAATTGCAAGCTCTCAAAATGTGTAGTAGTAAGGTGAAGGAATTCTTGAGAAGGTGAGTGATAAATCAGTCTTCCTCTTCATCAAGGCAAAAATGAAACACTCATTTCATTCAATATTATTGGTTAATTTTATTTTCATTTTTAAAAGGCATTCCTCAGTATACAATTAATTAACAGTGAAATCAGTTTTCTACTCTACAGTACTTAGGATTCTCCAAAAACAGGGTGAATTGATCTGTGCTTTAAAGCCAGCAAACTAGGCCCCAGAAACTAAGATAGGGAATTCCAGAACTATATCTAGCCAGTAACCAGAAGGTAAGCCTAATTTTGAGCCTCTAATATTCAGGTTTGTGAACACTATAAGAAATGTCATGCTTCCAAATATCTGGCCTGAATATTGTTACCATTAAAATAAAGGATCTCTCTAAGATTAAATGATAAAGCAAACTACTTACTGCTTCAGTTTGACTCTGCAAGTGAAGAGGTAGTCTGTGTTCAGGATGTTGTGGGAATGAAAATGATTTTATTTGAAAAAGCTACTCTTTTATCTTGAAGAGTAGCTATTCCTCTCTCAGTGTGCCTCCCACACTCAGAAAATTTGTTTCCACCCAATCATAGCCTTACTTGTCACAACCATTCTCCAGATTCCTATGTGCACCTCTACTAGTTTATGACAGATCAAAGGTTATAATCCATTCTATTTATAAATGTCAAAATAACTTGTCAAAGGTTTTTAACTTAAAGGTTCTTAATTTTTAGGTAGAGAGGCATTTAAAGCTTACCCTTTCAGTTTTTCATGGTCAAAGAATAATGAGCAGCGTCCACTCTACATTTGGTGATCTTTGTTCTTGTGATTTGGGGGAGGCACCATGAATAAACTGCTTTAAATGTAAAGGTCAATGTAAATGTAAATTTAGGAGTTAGTTGTACCTTGTATAGCAGCAGACTCCCCTGATTAATTTCAAATGAAATACTGTTACTTAAAGTGTGCTGTGTACAGGGAAACCGAATTCCATATGAAAAAGTATTAATAGACAAGGTCATCCTTGTGGTATAGCTGAAAAAGCTCACACTTTTGCATTGCAAAGAGTCACATTATTTTCCCATTTTATTAACTCAGTGGAGGAGCTTTTTTTTTTTTTTTTTTTAATTCAGTAGAGATGACAGGTAGCAGGGCCCCATATCCTACCATACTGGTCCATTGACATACTAATAGTATGTGGTTAGCTACCCCCAAACTCTCAGTTTCTCTGACCTCCTCAGTAGCTTATCTTTTCTGCATAAGGCCATTGTTCTATCCTCCCTTTTTTTCTAGAGACTATAGATATGCCCGTCTTTCAGTGTATCTTCTTCAAGTAAGTTCTTGGCTTGTTCTCTGAATGCTAAAAGATAATATTAGAGAATAGTGGAAACTAAATATAAATTTAAAGATCTTTTGAAGAGGTAAAAGAAAGTTATGTACTATAATCTCTCTTCTCACTACCAAGTCCACAAAGATGAAAGAGACAATAAACTAAAAATGCTTACCAAGAAAATCAACATTAAGAGGAAATCTCCCCAGCTGTGATAACAGATCTTCAGAGAATAAACTAGAAAAAGCTATGTCTTAGACTCTTAAATAACTAAGAACTATGATTAGTATGCAGCTTATCTGCCTATATATTTACAGAATGAAGATCCTTTTTTTTTTTCAAAGTTCAGTTCACAAGTGATATATTGACGTATAGGATCACTACAAAATACAATTTTTCTGATGTCAATTTTGAAAAAACAGCAACATTACAATCACGCCAGCTCGATTTCTTTGCAGTTGTCCTGGAGATACAAACAGTTGTTGAATGTATAACAGTGGGATTTTTTTTTTCTTTCTGTAATATGGCTGTGATCAGTAATGGCCAGCATGTGGCTTCAGCCTAGCAACCCATCAAGAGGGACACCTAAAATTCCAAAGGAAGCCTGAAATGTCCTAAGAGGGACAAGCGGTATGGCTGCTGGCTTATGTCAGCATGATCGCATGTGGAAACATTTAGATCTCCTGGTGCCATAACGAATAAGACGGTGTCATTGTTGGTTCCACAGTACAAAGAGGACTGGAGCATTGTGCGGTGACAGCCAGCAGTAGTCCACGATGCTATACTGCATGTAGCCCTGGAAAAAGCCAAAAGCCACGTCGGTGACATTGTGTCGCCCCAGCATGACCCTGGAGAGGCCCAAGATGAAGGCCCACAGTACCACCAGCACCCTCAGTGGAATGGCCAGCACCAGGTGGTTCAAGATGAACCGCGACACCAGGGCGGCCCTGGTGGCATGGCCCGAGGGAAAGGAGTACTTGTCCACCGAGAGGGTGACAAACATGTCCATCTGGTTGTGGGCTGGGCGACGCCTGCGGACCAGCCCCTTGAGCAGGGCCACCAGCAGCAGGTCCAACAGCAGAGCGAAGAGCAGGTTCATCAGCACCTCGCGCCCGGCCCAGCTGTCGCTCCTGGACAGGCAGTAGAGGGTGCCCAGCAGCCAGGGGATGCCGTGTCCCGAGATCTCCAGCAGCTTCATAAGGGGCCGCACGCTGCCCCAGGACGAGCTCTCTCCCGCGCACACCCCCAGCTTCTTGGACAGCCACAGGTCGATGGCCAGCAGGGAGCGCAGGGCGATGCCCAGGAAGGACGGGTTCAGGTCGATGCGGTCCTCCTCGGGCAGCGGGGGCGGGGGCGCCTGCG